ACTGTCTAGTTAGTATAGTATGCCTGGGCATCAACAATAGTGGGAAACATGGAATAATTTGCATAACGAGAGAAGCCCGTTATGCATAAATTATCCCATGTTTCCCACTATTGTTGATGTCCCTGGCATACTATACTAACTAGACAGTGATTCCTTTTATTTCCATTTCATTGTAAAATAAAATTGTAGATTTAGACTTTAAAAATGCAGACATATATTTAAATTACACGAGTATTCCCATCCCAATTTCAATAGTCCTCGCCCACTGACGTCAAACCCAACGGCAGCCGCACGAGATTTACATGCATATTTGGCCTCCTTAGCGTCAGACTCAGAGACAGATCCGCACGAGATTTGCATGCATAGTAGGCCTCTTTAGCTCCTGACCTATTGACCTGCCTAATTTACATTCCGGTAGAATTATCAAGAAATTAACTCTAACTTTCAAAGAGTTTTCACAGAGAGAAAAAAAATTAGAAATGGAAATATTGTTGTATAAGTAAGGAAAGTTGACAATAGAAAAGTTAAAGTCATCACGTTTATCATATAGCTTGGTTGTTACATTATCATGAACGTCTTTTTCAAGAAAAATATCCAAGTATGAAACAGATGTGTCAGACTCTTTGGTATCTTTTATCTCAAGCCATCCATGATATATCGTATCGATGGAAATTACCATTGTTAATTGATGATACGTCGTCGATATATCTAAATGTCGAGTTGAAGGCCACAGCAAGTGTTTTCTTCTTATAATGCATAAGATTTAGAAATAGAAATTTGAAATTACATCCTTTCAAATCTTAGGTACATGTAAGAAAAGATGTTAAATTTATTTTGTTTTATAATTGTACTTATATTAAGCTTTTTAGGAGAATTAGTATTATGGTTAATTGTGTGAATAAACAAATACAATTGTACTAAATAATAAGATCTTAGGCTAGATTTAAAAAAATGATTTGACAAACTTATCATAGTGGTAGTTATTTACTTAAAAAAAAATAAAATATCCTTATGAGAGTTTTAAAAACTTTAACTAATTTCATCAACTTTTTAAATTATATACTAGTATACATTTTATAAAATGCACCATAGAAATAAAACAAAAATATTTGCAATAAATGCTTACTTTTCTGCAATCCTGAATTTAAAAAAAAATATCAACATTTAGAAAAATAATTTACACCTTATAAAAGGTAAAAAAAATTTAATCAATATCTTAAAAAAAAAACAGGGTGGTAGTTGTAGACAACACAACACGAAGGTCCAAACAAAAATATGGAGACTTTCACAAGAAAAGGTAATAATTTACTTAATATTGTTTACTAGATCTCCATTTTGTATGAATTATACGAATCTTTAAAGAAAGAATGTTTTGAAATATATGGATATTTAAATATCTCGAGAGATGGATTTTTTTTGTAAGTCGGAAGACCCATTCTTTGATCACAACAAAATCGGATCTAATTTGTATCTATTTTGGTCGACCTTTGCAAGAAGCAATGACTTTTACAGTTTACTATTTACTTTGACATTTAAACCTGTTTCATAAATGGAGGAAAAGAATTGATAATAGATAAGAAAACCTTGACAGTGTTCAACTGAATGGTGTTTTTGGCCGTTAGCATTGGAGGGCGGTATTTGAGGCGAGGGTGGCCGAGGGATTCTTCATGGGCAACTTGAGTGCACTTTATTTCAGCCCGCTATTTTCGTTGAATTAATGCTTCGCTTAATATTTTTCTTGCAAAAGAGACACCATATATTTAAGTGTAAAATTAGGTTGTCGACTGAAAAAATTCAACATTTTGATAAGTTTGACGATACTTTTACACACTATCAATGGTCCCCCTGTACAGCAAGACAATATTGTAGAGAACAAATTATTGAAATTATGTTACATTTTATATCCATTGAATCAGTTTCATATCTGATTAAGACCATTATCATGAATCAATTAATTAACGACACTAAGCAAGCTACCTGCATAAATTTCTTGAACAATGGCTGTTCCATCAATTATGCATGCAACATACGATGGTAAGCATCTCTATTACAATGTTGAAAAAATTTAACTTTACTTTGAATGTATTTTTTCCAAAGACATGTTAATATAATGAATAAAGTGTCTTTGCTTTCTATTAGTACGGGAATTAACGTCGTAGATACATTATTGCAGAAAAAAATTAATATAACCCCTTACGCTTGTAAAGCGTTTTTTCTGTAACAACTGCGACACTAATTCCCATACTAACAACCAAAGAAAGCATTTTATTGTTTAAGACAATGCCTTATGTTGTACAATCTATGAGTTGAATTGATTATACAACATATATATATATATATCTTATAATACACTTTACAAACTATAATTTTTAGAATCTATATAAAAATGTGATTCTACATATAGACATTTTTGTCAGTTCTTGGTGACACCCTTTTTAATAAAAAAAACCTCAATTTTCGTTTTTTCTATTTCGGAGGGGAGTAAAAGACCTTGAATCTTTATTATATAAATTAAGAATTATAATGATAAAGTTGCTAATCCTTCTCTTTTATAACGATTGAATATATTGATATACCTGTATAGATCTCACGACAGATCATGTGAGTTTAATCGTGATCTGCTTATCTGTCTTGCATATAAGTGTATAACACCATACCTTCTGCCACAGACCTCTGAGGATATTCAATATACCATGGCTGTCCAGGTTCTAGTCCTCCTATTAGCAGGTATATCATATATAGTAAATCAAATTCGATGTAATTAAAAAAAACATTGCTGACATAATTCCTATGTCATGGATATCTGTCATTACAATTTGGTGTCATTTTTTCAATTGGTTTTTATTTAAGTTTATAAAAGTGACGTTTTAACATGGAGAAATACACTACTTCATAAATTCGGAAACCGAAATGATTTTTAACTTTTCCTGACTTATCAAATATGATTTATCAAATTTAAAGCAAGATACGCAGAATTTCGTTTTGTGTCAAGGTAAATTAAACTGTGGATATTTAAAATATGAATTCATGTCCTAGAATATGTGGTGTGTTGTTAACCATGTAAGAATGAAATTTTTGACAAAGAACTATAAGCTTATCGTCTTTTACTTTACACTCTGGAGGTCATAGAATACTGTTATCTCAGAGCAGAAATTCTTCTTTGAATTTTCCTGATTTTCATGTACCTGAGCTTACTATCAAGAGACAAAGATAATTACTAAAGAAACGTAAGAAAACATAAACCAAAGCATAAGACAGCGGCCAACAAAATTCCTGTTTCTCTATAATCTCTCTCCCACACTCCCTCCTGTTTACATGTTTATGTATTTGGCTGCAACTGAGACAGACGTTTACATGGAATATTGTCGAGAAAAAAAGAGGCAATCTTACATGGATGCAAGAGACTAGCCATCCGTTTTTAACGTAATACTGACTATTTGTTATATATTTACCATATTTGTATTTTTCATATTTTCATTGTAGTAGTCTTTAAAGATTTATATACATTTATCACAAAAATACAAGTATGTTCAATTTAAGATTCACATTGAATCTGGATACCTCAACTCATCTTAAGGAACAGGTTCTTTGGACATTTTGACCGGATGTATGAGTGTTTCAAAGAATTAAAAAAAAATTATTGTGATTTAACATAATAAAAACATTAAGAACATCATAACTGCTATTGTCAATCTAACAGTGACCATCATTCTATATATATATCATGTAATTTTTGTCCATGAACCAGTCTGTTGTGTGTGGCAAAATTACGTCAGGCTTTATCAGCTCCAGTCCGTCCGTACTCTATATAAAGTCATTGTAATGCAATTGTGTTACCAAAATTTCCTTTGCCATATTAAGATTTTTTAAAGAAAAAATATTAATATTAATAAATTGATTAGAAGTTAATAACTACAATATTTGATAGACTTTGATTTGGAAAAAGTAGTCTATTTATGTGAAGGAACACTTGTCTAGAATAAGAAAATATGACTGAACTTAAAAAAAATTATTTTAATATCAGTTAATGCTCCTCTTTTCCTTCTGTTCGAGATGCAGATGAATTGCTTATTCGTAGTAGTTTTTTGTAAGAATTGTACAAAGATTTTAAAAAATTAATAAGAGCATTAAAATTTTAGTCCTTTGAATGTATGAATTGTATCGACATATCTTGAAAAGTGAATTCTTGTTTTCAATTTTAATTTTTTTGTAACCAATGATTTTTTTCTTTTTCAGTTGCTTTGTCTTCTAATGCTTTCCTTTGGGACAGTGAGTACACTGTTTACGAATTTTATATTTAAATATTGGTAAAAAGGGCATGTTTTAACTCAAATTCTGAATGAGTACAAATATGGATGGTATTTTTTAATCAGTTTGTAATTTGATAACACGCATTTCCTTTGAATTGTAAAATTGATTCACATTCATATTTAAAAAAATAAATATATATATACTGTATAATTTATAATTCCTTTAATTATATATCATTATATATCATTTTGTAGCAATAAATCAAGGAAGAACGCAGTATAACTCAGATAATGTACATGAGCCGTGCAGCCGTAAGTACACGAAACTATTTACAAAAAAGATGCATGTTAAGTGGAGATTATATTGTACAATTTAACGTAAAAGTTTAACTCTTTAACCAAGAATGAAACCGTATTATTGACTAGGCCTTCTTTAAAAAAAATGTTTGATTGCCCTCTCCCGACCGACTAACTAAAAATGACCCGATGCAAAACTTTTTTTAACATTCCAGGACACAATATTTTTTCTTTTATTCCTCTCTTCCTTTCCCACCTACCTACCGACCCAATAATTTTTCCCTGAGTTTTTGTGTTTCTTGTAACTTTATATATTCTCTCCATTCTATTTAACTTGAAAAAAAGACCATTAGAATTCATAGTTTTCTTTGATTTTTATCTTCCGAAACATGCCTAAAATGTAGTCGAATAGGCTTGAAAAATACACAATCAATTTTTAATTTTTAGACATAAAAGCCTTAATACATGAATGGCAGAAACACCATCATATGGAAGGTAAACATGTTTTAATGATTTTTATGAAATTTTTGAGAAGTGTCACTGTTGATGTGAATAAATATATATTATATATCTTTTCTTTATTTCAATAATGAAGTACTAATTAGAAGAAATATATGGTGCCGTGACCAGGATATTTATTATTTTCATGTACTTATAAAAAGTTACATATAAATGTTACGACTTGTGCAGGGTTGCTCAATATATATAATTGTAGATCTGTGATCGTTCTAAATACTTCCATTAAAATTTTTATGTGATATGTAATAGTTAGTAAGATTTAAACATGATCTGTTATAATGTTTTGGTCAATTATAATATTTATACAAAAGCCTGCATGTCAATTCCAAATCATTTATTTATTGTATGTGTATAATGGTTCATTACCTGTTTGATTATTTCAAGCTAGATAAAAAGTGTGCATTTACTCTTTTTTTTCCAATTCACACAGCTGTCAGATCGGTATATGAGTATATCGTGACACATCAAAACAGCCACCAAGGACATTTAAGCCACGACAGAGGTATGCTTTATTGAAATTACAAGTCTGTGTATTAATCGACTTTTCTCGAAACATTTGTTATCAGTTAAAGGATAAACAGATAGATAGATAGATAGATTGATTGATTAATTGATTGTATATTGTTTAACGCCGAGTCGGCGATGTTTCAGATAAAGAAATATGTAAGGAAAGAAAATTTAGAAATGTGTATTTTATTTCAAATTTTTCAGCATTACGGTATACATATAGTAGTGACTTTGATGAGGCCTTTGACCACCATAATACCCACCCAGATGGTATGCTGTTATGCTGATATTTTGTTTTATGTATGCAGGAAATTTTTGACCCTGTTTTATTTTCGCCTGTTTGGCCCTTATCACAGGTAGAAGAATTTAACACGTGTCGAATTCATAGAAAACTACTATTTCTTTCATATATTAATTGTGACTGAGCGAAATATAAAAAGGGCCTTTTTTTTTTTTACAAGTGTGGACGGGGCGAAAATAACAATGTTAACGGTAAATTTATAAGAAGTTCGGAACCAATACAGTATTTATGTTATATTACGAACAGGTGTTCGTGGAAAGGACCCCCTACCTTGATATATATCCCGGGTCCAACAAAATTTTTATCTGTCTTTTTAGATAAATTATTTATCTATTAAAGTTTAAGAAAAATGCATTTATATTTCTTTGTTTTCCATATGGAATACCTATCACAGTTTTGGTTTTGCAGTTAAAAGAGTTGAAGACCTAATACGTCACAACCGTGAGCGTGGATGCTTAACCAAATTACAGCAATATTGTGAAGGTAATTTGTTTTCAATTTGCTCTAATAAAAAAATCCCATTTTTTTATTGATTACACAGCAAATTGATTTTTAGAACTTTAAACAATGTTAAAATTATCTGTACATTTGATTTACATATCCACTTATATTTGTGCAAAAAAAAAAATGCATCGTTAGAAGTAACCAAATATTTCTTTTCAAACTATATTTCCTTAAACATTCAAAATACACTTGTTCCGCGTAAAAAATAATTGAACTTGTCTGTAATTTGGTGTGTAGAACTGCTTCATATTCAACCACACTCCTCACACACCACCACCCAGAAACCAACGGAAAAACCTACAACAACACATCACGTGACTCCCCACAAAACAACCACTAAAGAAAAAACTACCACAATGCCACCAACGACAACCACAGTCAAACTAACCACCACAGAAGCCACTACCACACAAGCTGCCACCACAACAGCGGAGACAACCACGGAGTTACCACCTCTTAATCTGAGCAAGTATCTCCATATTCATTAATCAAGTTTGATAAATAATCAAATGAGATCTAGCCCCAACAAAATTAGCAAATTTGAAGAAAACAATATTTTGGGATTTGTAATATTATCATTATTTAAAAACACCTACATCAACATAAAACTTGTTATATTTACCTTATTTCCTTATATCAGTAAGAGATAAAAAGAGAATTTACAAAAGTTATAAGTAATTTTTCCTTGTGATATAATATTATTAGATGAAAAACACTACCAGTAAAGTAAACAGAAAAAAAATTAATATAATTTTTTGAAATTAGTTTTGTTTTTTTTCACACGCAGCGATATACTTGAAGTGAAATTAACAGCAATGTCCTATTCTTTTTACCAGCAATCTGTGACGCCTTTGCCTTTGTGATGGCGCTAGCTAGTGGTGACAAGGTGCTGGATCGGCACGCCGGTCTGTGTTCGGACGGTACCCACAGTCAGTCCGAGGCCGTGCTCTATCAGACCTGTAAAGCCCCGGACGCTTCCACGTGGACAGCTGGACCAAAAGTACCTATTTCAAATTTTAATTTTGATTTTCAAAATTTTGACAATAGCTAAATCATTTTTTGTCTTTGTATAACAAATTATTTATTGATGTAGTTTTTTTCTATGTAGAGAAATTTTTTATCGCATTGTGGCAACGCACTTTGAAAAAATTACGCACTTTGAAAAAATTTTTCAAAGTGCGTTAATTTTTGGGACCAGGTTAACGCACTTTGAAAAAAAACTTTTTTTTTCAAAGTGCGTTAATATGGACCATATTAACGCACTTTGAAAAAAAAATTCTGCATGGCTTAGTCAATATTCCTACAAATCTTATGATAACTTATCATTTGAACCTGATTTGATACTTTTTGTCCCCCGCTTGAAAAGTGGGGGATATTAATTTGGGTCCGTCCGTCCGTCCGTCTAGCTGTCCGTCCATCCGTCTTTCTGTAACGCTTTCGTTTCCACACGATATCTCGACAACCCTTTGTGCTTTTGCAATGAAATTTAACATAACAGAATCCCTGTGGCCTTAGGAAGACCCCTTTTGAATTTGGGGTCAAAAGGTCAACATTCAAGGTCGTAAAGAACTACGAACGATAGTATTATTCTTCCGCCTATCTCTAAGTCAATTCTCAAAAGTAACATCTTGGAATGATTCTCAAAATGTTTATACATATTTATATGAATTTTCATAAAACCTTACTTATTTGGGATACCAAAGAGAGATAACTCTATAATTTTGGCAAAACTTGTGTTTTCCACTATAGAAATCAACGGAAAACTGAAAATATTTTTAAAACAACTCCCCCCCCCCCCCCCCGTGAAACAAAAATTCCTTTTTACAGGTAATTAGGATTGTCAATTTACAAATTCATGCCAAATCTTTTTGTGTTTCACGGGGGGGGGGGGGGGGGGGGGAGGGCATATGTTTATAGACAAAAAACGAAAAAAAAATGCTTATTTTTCACCAATTTTAAAGCTATTTAAAACTAAATAATTGTATTTTATTAATTTATATATGCTTTATTTATTTGCGTAAAACATGAGAAAAGATATTAGATACATGTTAAATGAACAATTCCTATGAAAATATCATGTAAGTTAAATACCTGGAGGTTAACAGAGAGAATATCAGATATGGTATCAAATTAACATCGAAAAGCAGACAGGTACTTAATTTAATTAAATGTAATTAATGTTATTAATATTCTGATTTTCCTGAAAATGAACATAAATAGACTTTGAGATTTAAAAGAACAAAATTTCGATTTACTACAGACTTCCTTGTACAGTGCTTATACTGTATTTAGAATGCTCTTTTTTCCAAATATCATTGACACTTAAGTTTACGAGTTATAGAAATAGATACATCTGGGTGGGAATGATAAAGAGTTAAGCTGATAGACCTTAATTCAGCCAGTCTTTTCTTCGTTGTCCGTTTCTAGGTTTTCTTCAATCCATCATTTTTTAGAAAGAAACACATCAAAGTAAGGGCACCGCAAAGCGGAGCATTCCTTCCCAAAAAGCATGTTCAGTAAATCAAGGCAGCATTTGACATCGATCGCGATACAAATTACGTCAATTCCACACAGATAAAAAAAACATACACATAAAGTAATAACACATGCACATAATTGCATCACTATATCCCATCATACGTTGCGAGGGGGTAATACTGTTGTCTATTTCTAAAATATACATGTAAGTCTAATTCCTTTTGTTTCATGAAAATTTTTTCAAAGTGCGTTAAATGTTTACATGGTGTAAAATTATGATGTACAGTCTTAACGCACTTTGAAAAATTTTTTCAAAGTGCGTAATTTTTCAAAGTGCGTTGTAACATCGCATATTATTTTTTTTCTTTTACTTAATTCATTAATTACAAAAAAATTACAGAAACTGAGATGGCGGTTGGATACAAGTGCATAAAACGTATCAATTGAAACTATGCTCGTGGTATACCTATGTCAAAAAAGGTTTTTTTTGCTATTTACTTACTTATACAAAGACATTTCGTCTTTCCTTGTTCTAGGTTATGGATAACTGTGCGCGGATCCCGGCCTATACACCTATTGCAACTTTTGAGTTTGGTCAGTACAATCTGGACTCGTCTTCATTATCTGGTATCTTTGTCGAGTGCACTGACGATGGATTCAAGGTAAAAAAAATTTAATAATTCTATATTTTTTGTAAATATGTCAATTTTTTATAAAGATTTTAAAACAAACAAGAAAATACAAATATAAAAAAATGGAATAAAAAACACGTACAGGGTATTTGTAATATTATATTGATACTATACCACACTATCATATATTGTAATCCTTATAAAATAAGCTGATGAAATTTATGCAGAATTCAAGTTTCATAATCAATAATCCCAATGTGAGAAATTGCGAAGGTGTTTTGTAAAAAATAACATGAAATTTTTATAGTCTGTCATTTTTATACTACATTTTTATAATCATTTTAAGGTTGCCGCACAATTATGTGGACATGGACCTGAAATTTACACAATCCACAAAGGTGGCTCAACACTGCGACAGGATGCCAATAATTACTATGTCGTTAACATCTAAAAAAGATACTGCGAATTCTGTGATACAAATCTCTCTTGTATATATAACATCATCATCCATTTTATATTTATTTACAAACACTGCCAATTTACTATTTCACAAGTTCATCAGTGTTTTCTTTTATTTATTGCATGCTATATCTTGAAAATTGAAGAAGAAATATTCTTCTTACCCTCAGTCAGCCTTCTCAATTTGACAAATATGTAATATTAAGTTGTGACTTATATACAAATCAAGCAGTCCTGGTGATAGTTAATACATGCACATTACGTCACAGATACAAATCAACTCCTGATTGACACGCTAAATTCTTTGGTAAATCTTAATTTCATTTTTAGATTTAATAACAAGAAAAGACTTAGAATAAATAACTATCAAATGAAAGCAACATATTTCCGTGAAGTCCTAATCTATTTATATCCTGTTGATAAACTTGAGTAATGAGAAAGAAGTGACCTCTATAGAATAGTGTGAAGTTCTTAGACATAGATAAAAAATGAAAAGATACATCCTTTGTTCTTAAATCGAGTGGACCAGTTGTAATACCATGCATTTATATTTGCTGTGTTTTCATCTTAAGGTCCGTCACTTGTGAAATTAGTTTTATCAAGGTTTTTTGAGAAGTATTTTAGTTATACAATAAATTTAATCTAAATTTACGTAAATTTAATTTAATCTTATTTTACGTAAAAAAGTTTGATTTACAATTAACATTGCAAATAAATAAGTTTAATAATTTGCCCATGGGCATATTTTTTTCTATGCAGCTCTGGTGAGTTGCCTGCGTGACTTGTCTCTGCAATTTTAGCCACCAAAAACTCAAAACTTAAAATTATTTCCGAATAAAGCAAACTAATAATACTTGAAAAGGAACTTTCTTACATATTAAATAAATCGTTCATTAATGAAAATTATGATTCTTTTTTCCAGAAGGCAAAATGTCCGATAAAAAGTGTTATATGTTAACCAAACCATTGTTGGGTTTAAAAGCAAAAAAGAATTACCTAGTTATTTTACTGAAATTTACATGTAATTAAAATTTTAAAAAAATGCTAATTTTAAAGTTACTCTTACTGTTTAAGAGAAACTTCAAAATTTGCATTTTTTCCCCCAATAGTCGTATATAATATGAAATTATTATCTGGGAATTCTTAGTTCGTGTCAGTGGTCCTAGGTCATCTATGGATAGAAATAAATCTAATCTGCAAAACGAACATGACAAGGCCAGTGGACAGAATTGTGGGTGAAAATAAGGTCATGACTTTTTGATCACGACCTATTTTTTTTATTCTATCACTAAAACTGATATAGTTCTTGAATCATTCCTCATTCTGTAGATAACAATGATTAAAGAGATGAAAAAAAAATCTTTGAAATGCTCTGCAGGTATATATATTTACATAACGGACAATAAAATATGGATATAAATACATAGGTATGGTATATGATGCATCTACCAACTAATTTCTAGTATATAATCAAATATAACTTCAACTCAGTTCAATATGCTCAAGAGGTAATTTTTTGTCTTTGTTTAAGATCTGGATATAAAAAGAAGTGTTTCAATATTAACATAACGAAGAAAGTTTTTTTTTTTTAATTTAGCCATCTATATTTCTTTTCTTTTTTTTCTCGCTTTCATCAAGTAGAAAAGCTTAAAATCGATTTGTCTCTCACGATTTTCTTCTTTATCTGATTAATATCATATACGAACACAATGAAAAAAGGTTCATAATGGGCTTTAGATTTGATATAAAAATATTGCATTTGTTGATCCAGATCTTGTGTAAAAACAAATACTAGTATTCCAGATCTTGTGTAAAAACAAAACTTAACCTTGTTCTGTTTATTCTGACATGTCAAAGAGTCGAAATACAACAATAATAGTGACAAGTTTTGAAAAGAAAAATGATTTGAAGATTAATGCAAACACTATCAGATTAAGGTAGGATTCTTCTCTGGTTTCTGAGTAGATGAAATATTCAATGTAAATTTGCTTATATGTCTTATATATTTGGGTGAAAGAGATTTAAAAGACCATATTTTTCTTCCCTCATCACAATTGTACAACTTTAAATAGAAATGGTAAATTGTGTTCGAAAACTAGCAGGGACTATATTTTTGGCGGAATGGTGGCGTATGGAAATATCTTCTTTTTTGCCTCTCAAAATTATTATAGAACAAGGAATTTAGTTATAATTTTTACACAATCGAAGACTTGAAGAATTTTTCAATTGTTAGCTAAATTAATAATAAGGGATTAAAGTTTTAAAATATATCAAATAAATATGATTTTCCAAACAAACTACATTTATGTTAGCTTTTAAAAGCTTCCAATCTAAGTACAGATATGAGCCAAAAATCCATAGAAAATGTTTTTACTCTCTTAATAAAGGTCAAAACTTTTTTAGCTCACCTGAGCCGAAGGCTCAAGTGAGCTTTTCTGATCACATTTTGTCCGGCGTCCGTCTGTCCGTCTGTCTGTCTGTCCGTAAACTTTTCACATTTTCGACTTCTTCTCAAGATCCGCTGGGCCAATTTCAACCAAACTTGCCACAAAGCATCCTTGGGTAAAGGGGATTCAAGTTTGTTCAAATGAAGGGCCACGCCCTTTTTCAAGGGGAGATAATTATGAATTAGAGAAAAATTAATGGCATTTTTAAAAAATCTTCTTCTCAAGAACCACTGGGCCAGGAAAGATGGAACTCATGTGGAATCATCCTCAGGTAGTGTAGATTCAAGTTTGTTCAAATCATGACCCCCGGGGCTAGGGTGGGGCCAAAATGGCCGACCCAAGTTTTACATAGGAATATATAGGAAAAATCTTTAAAAATCTTCTTCTCAAGAACCACTGGGCCAGGAAAGATGAAACTCATGTGCAATCATCCTCAGGTAGTGTAGATTCAAGTTTGTTCAAATCATGACCCCTGGGGCTAGGGTGGGGCCAAAATGGCCGATCAAAGTTTTACATAGGAATATATAGGAAAAATCTTTAAAAATCTTTTTCTCAAGAACCACTGGGCCAGGAAAGATGAAACTCATGTGCAATCATCCTCAGGTAGTGTAGATTCAAGTTTGTACAAATCATGACCCCCTGGGCTAGGGTGGGGCCAAAATGGCTGACCCAAGTTTTACATAGGAATATATAGGAAAAATCTTTAAAAATCTTCTTCTCAAGAACCACTGGGCCAGGAAAGATGAAACTCATGTGGAATCATCCTCAGGTAGTGTAGATTCAAGTTTGTTCAAATCATGACCCCCGGGGCTAGGGTGGGGCCAAAATGGCCGATCCAAGTTTTACATAGGAATATATTGGAAAAATCTTTAAAAATCTTTTTCTCAAGAACCACTGGGCCAGGAAAGATGAAACTCATGTGGAATCATCCTCAGGTAGTGTAGATTCAAATTTGTTCAAATCATGACCCCCGGGGCTAGGATGGGGCCAAAATGGCCGACCCAAGTTTTACATAGGGAGTTATAGGGAAACCTTTTAAAATCATCTTTTCAAGTAATTCAAAGCTATGATTAGTGATATTAATATGGAATCATCTTCAGGTAGTGTAGATTCTAGTTTGTTCAAATCATGAACCCCTGGGGGGTTAAAATTCAAGCCCCCCCCCCAGTAAACTTTCAGTTCTGATCTGATATGTGCTTTTTCCTAGCCAATGTGCTCAGGTGAGCGCTGTGGCCCCTGGGCCTCTTGTTTGTTTTTGTATCATTTTGTATCTCTACATGACTTCTTTACCATATGTGAAAATAAGAAAAATTCAAATATAGGGCGCATATAAAAATAACTTAAATATCCTTAAAATTTAAGAAAAAACAGAGAAAATTCGGATTAGCCAAAATTCATTTTTGTTAAACTATTTTTGTCAATTTGGTAGTATCATCTTATAGACCCTATATGGTAATATCTTTTTATGCAAAAAGAAAAACATTTAATGTTTTGAAATAGAAGACCCTATCGCATGATTGGATGCAGTCATTTTTATTCTTAATGTCAAGGGAAAAGGTAATGACCTTGACCTGACCTTGACTCTAATATAAAAAAATCAAAACTAATCTTGATTCTGTGAAAATTTCATTAATTTTATTAAATTTAAGGAATACAGTTTTGTGTGAGAAGAATCCTACCCTAACGCACAATAATTGAACGGTACAGAACGATAAAATAAATGCCTGCGAAAACAATCAAGGGATACACTTTAAAAATAAGAAAACTAGATTGGAAAGAAGAGATTGAAATACGAAGATACCGAAGAGAAATCAAGATCAGAAGTCTATTAAACAATACAAATTAGGAGCAGAGCAAGCTTTAATCACCAAAAACATCAGAGGTATGGTCGGGTGCCATGAATGTACTCACCATGTGCTCCATGTCATCAACAAGCAAATTAAATACTAGTAATCCAATATACAATTCAGCGTAAAACTCTTGGTTTGAGAATTTGTATGAAAAACGCCAGTCAGCAATCTACAATGCTAGATTGGTTTGCTTGCAATGCTAATGTATCAACCAAACAATTGCCAGATAGTTGAGTTTAAATCAAACTCCATATTAACATATAATAAACATATTTGTCAGTAGATTTCTTCTTTTTACAGAATATTCGTGCCAAGGGCATGTTCTTAGGTATCGAATCAATTTTGGGACATGAATCCATATAGAGGAGAAGGAACGTAAAGGTAAAGTGTAAAGAAAGTTGCCGATAGAAAATGTAAACTCATCATAAATTTAGTTCTTAGGTACCTACAATGCATTAAATTTGTAAAATATCCAAATGAAAGCAGTAATTGAGTTCAGGAGGGTGTATATCGAATCAACGTAGGTTTATTCATAAAATTCGTCGAAATATCTAGACAGGGGTTTCTTCATTAAACATAAAAATAAGTCTGATTCTAACGAGAGGCAATTACCCATAGGGGTTGTTGAAAGACTTGAACTAAAAAAATTAAGTTGACATTGTAAATCAGAAAATAAACAATTTTAATGTCATTTTCGGAATACTACGTCTACATCCTATAATGAATTCAAATGTCGTCAATGAAACATTCTACAACAAAAATAGCGTCATATTGTAATCAAAACCCCTGATCCTGATAAA